ACTCGTGGGCGGGCGCGATGCGATTGCTCGCCAAAATGGGCACTCCTGCCAGCCTTGAGCTTGAAGGAGGTTGCGTGCCGCCGCTGTGCTACGGTGGAAAGTCGTTTCTGCATCCCTTTCCTCCAGTTGGCGGACGCTTGCCTCGGCCAAAGCCGGGGCGCTCGCCAAGCACACGGGGTGCATCAGCCCATGCTGCCCAGGAAGGCCGCCAAGCGACGTTGGGAGAGCCGTCCGCCTCGCCAGACGCGGGCGGCTCCGCCGAGGCAGGCCTGCAAGGTCTCCCATACGGCGTCGTCATGGGCTTGGGCGTAGCCGGCTATGTCCAGCGGAGGCACCGTGCGGAACGCGTGGCTGGCCCGCGGCGGGGCGCACATGGCGTTGAGGAGCCACGCAAATTGTAGGTCGGGGAAGCGAGCCAATTTGCTCAACAACTCTCGTTCAGTGCGCATCCGGCTTTCCGCCCATGATGTGATGAAATGCGGGTGGCCGATGGGTGTGCTCAGGACCTTGGGGCCGCGCTCGGAGGATGGCTTGTTTCCTCGCGAGACGTCAGTGCCCAGCTCGGCGATTCCCGCCGGCATGACTGTACACCCGAGTCTCGGCCTCACGGTGTCGCGAGCCTCGCGTGCACGCTCCCGTGTGGTCAGGACGTACAAGTCATCCAGGAACGCCACAAGAGTCGCTGCGAAGAGTGGCGTGCGGACGAGGCCTGGCATAAAGCCGCATGTTGGCCGAAGGAAAAGCGCCGGAGCCAGCGGGTCGCCTTGTTCGCACCCTTCTCCTTGGGCGATATCGCAGCATTGCCCTGACTCGTCCCACCGGTAGTATGTGGAAGGACGGCCGTACAAAAGCCTCACGAAAGGAAGGAGCTCGGGCGCGGCGGACTTGAGCGCAGTCAGAAACGAGGCGCGTGAGATGTTGCGACACCAGCACCTGGTTTGGGTCCTGGTCCAGGGCCACACGGACATGGGCCGCCAGTGCATCTGTGCCCACTCGCGCTTGCAAAGCAGATTGGTAAGGTCGTGTGGCTCTGTCGAAGGTTGTTGCCCAACCCTTCGAAACAACATGCCACTCTAGGCGGCGGAACACGTGGCCTGTCGCTATGCCACGCACGCCCATCTTGGCTTGCTCAAAGCAGTGAGGCGAGCTAAAACCAGTCCTGGAACGACGTTTGCCGGCACCTGTGCGTTTGCCAACCGGGTAGCGGCGTAAGCGAGGAGCTCCAACGCAGGCTGGTCTTGGAGCAAGATTTTCAAATGCTCAGCTCGCATGCCAGTCAACCATGCCGCTCCGCCGCGTTTCGCATCCCGCAGGGTCGCTGCAATGGCAGTCGGGCCGAGCTGGAGGGACTACTCGGCTGGTAGTCTGCAACGCCACCTACAATACGGGCCCGATCGGACAATGCCTGTGCAGGGACAGCTTGTGCTGGGCCGTTGTTCCACAATCTACTAACATTGCCAGTGGTTTGACAGCAGCACGTTTTGAGAAAAACCACCGATCAAGGGTCGCCCGCCGAAGGCAACCGTGACTGATAATTTGCGTTCTGACAATCGGTGCGTTGCGTGCCCTCGCTTGCAGGTCGTTTTTTTCCAAAACCTCGTCCGTTGATGTAGTTGCCCTACACAAGAGTTTGCTCTGTAGCGCAAGATTAGCGCAGCGACCCTGCATGGGCTCAGGCATGTCGCATCTGTCGCCACACTATACTTCTGGGTCTAGGTTAACAAGGTGCATCGGCACAAAACCCCCCAGCAAAACGGAAAATGCCGTGTACCCAGGTTCGCAGCTATGCTGGTGTGCGCTGCAACGATTCCGCGATGATCGCGCACCGCAGAGCGAACACCGGCCCACGCCGCAGTTACGGTGCCGGCACGGAACATGAAATACAGGACATTCTGCATTCGCGGCAAATGCAAGAACGAAATAAACGTGTGAGAATACGGACATCTGCATACGAAATGGGACAGCACACTCGCAGCCCTGAGGCCCTGAGGGTCGGGTTTCCAGCGACCCCTGGGCAACAGGCAATCTGCGAGAAGCAGCGGCCGCGATGCCTCACAACAACATGAAGATGTCACCTACCACGTTGCTGCAGCATGAAAATCCTTCTATGCAAACGGCTGGATGTTGCGTGATCGCCAAGTTTCCTTGTCGAAACGGTTGAAATTCTTTGATGCCATTGTTTCGCCAGTGGCATGTTTCGCGGCCGGACACAGAACGATTCACAAACCTGACCTGCACCGGATGGATGTTGAGTACAAGAGGTTGCTTCGTGCAGTGGTGGGACCACCCGGAAACATCTCATGGGATGACCCGTGGCATGAAATTCTGTTCGGAAGGCCTGCCATGAGGACTCGTTGAATAGTTGGAGAGGGCAAACCTTGGCAAGCTACTGGAAACTGTCTACTTAAATTGCAAATTTGCCTCGTGACCGATGGGTGATTAGTGTGTTGGAATGGTACCTTCGACGAGTTCAGGCGGGGAGACAACCAAGCGCTTGGGAAGATGCGCTCATGATTGTCGCTGGCATCAATCCGGAAATTGGAAATCTGCAGCTGTTGACTCAAAATGGTGGTTGCGACAAACAGATGATTTCTTTCATTTCATTACAAAGCAATGAGCTGCGCAGTTAGTCGCATCTGATTGCTTCACTGCTTGCGCCTTTAACGGGCCGCCTTCGGGCATCAGGCTTGATCTTGACCTTGACCTCGTCTCGGAGGGGTAATGTGCTTGTACCACAAAACCGCGAGCATGTTCTGTATTGGAATTTGGAACACCGCGGATCAGGAATGATTCGAAGAACGCCACCACATCGAGAAAAGACTGTTGAGCACACCGATTGCACACAAACGCAGTGATCGCGCTGTACAACGACAGCCAGCGGAATTGCTGTGACAACAGCATTGATGGAGCATTTCTTGCAGCTGCTACGTTTCGCAGGGGGTGCGAACAACGCCACGCATGTGTTCCACACATATGCCTTTGTGCAGCAGCTTAATGCGGTGGCAGCACAAACGCTGTCAGTGCGAAAGGACGGCCTTCGGAACAATCGGCAGGGAACATGGGCGTGGAGGTTGCGAGGGCGACCGTGTGAACCACACGAACGAAATCAGCCGTTTCGGAACCGATTGAGTGTAATTGACCCACTACCTGACAGCTGGACACCGAGGAAGTTGTTGGCAGCGACCGTAGCTGCAGCTCCGGCTTTTCTGCACAGTGCCCATGTGCGTGGCAACACGGTACCGTGGTCACCCCAGAAACGTGCGGACATGTGGAAAGCAAATGCTGAATCGGTCACCACGCAGCTGGAAAAGTTTGCATGACGAGAACATGGGTGATACAGCTGGGCTTGCACCTGGAGTGCTTGACGCACAAGCTTCATCAAATGTTTATCCCAGAAGGAGCTTGCGCTCCGTCAAACCTTCGGCCGGTGTTTCAATATCGCATGCCGCTTTTTCCAGCGATGGCTGCAGTTTCTCACGCGCCGCTCCTGTTTTCAGTGGCTCGGGACGCAACGCATAGTCGATGCTTTGCGTGATCGCTCGGCGTGCTGCGTGCAGTGCGACCCCCCCGCAACAGAAAACTGGAGGTGCAGCAGCAACGGCAATGTCTCGAAAGTCTTGCTGGACGATCGCGCACGGAGCCCGATACGCTTGAATAATGAATTAAGAACATGCTTCGAAAACAGGATCCCTGAAAAGCTTCAGACACCTTCCACAATTGACTCGCGTTGCGAGGGCAACCGGGATGCTGTGTCCATCTCGCTCAATGCCGAAGCGCTGCGCGGCGAGGTGTTGCTAGCGTCACCAGTCACGGCAGGGTCAGCGCCGTTTCGTGTTCCCTCCGCGGGAGGGTGCTCTTGCACACGAAAGCGGCCAACTACGTCCTTCCGTCGCTCAGTCCTCGCATGCCCTATTGCTCGCTACCGCTCCGTCATTCTGTATCGAGTTGAAGTGACATAATTTCGGTGTGACAGAGCACCAAAAAGTGATCACTGCCATCATTTGTGGTCTTCTAGCTTGGGTGTGCCTTGACGGGAAAATGTCTGGGTTCAGAAATTCAGTGCAGATTGAGGCGAACAAGCAGCGGGTAGGTGCTTCAAAACAAGGTAGGCGCAAGCGTACCAATACTGCCGTCCGGTTGTCGCCCAGCCTTGACTCTTGACTCTTTGGCATTCCGCCGCTCGCCGACTCAACATTGCGAAATGTCTGCCGAGACTGACGAAACCCTGACACGATTACGTAGATTTTTGAATTCTTGCTTGGTGACCATGCGCACATTGCCTGCCGCGTTTTGCAACCGACCGTCACAGCCTCGCCAATCGGACTCGGCCGCAGGAAGGTTCTGTGCTTTACCATTTCGCAGTGTCATTTTGACCCCGAGTCAGATGTTGCGATGCATCGCGCAGAGCCGTGCTTCTTCACCTGCGTCCAGCACGCAGATGCAGAGCGCCGACCGACAAGCCTATGTAACATACGGAAGTCTGATTCTCTCAGACCACACATGCTGTGCGATGCGCAGAACAAGCAAGAACTACTTGTATTCTGAGATAGACATTGCAACCTCAAACAACTAGCAACATGACAAGTCAAACGCCCGGTGCAACACTAGCAAAACAGAAGCCAAGGAAAGCCGCATGGACACTGGAGCACACCTTTTTCCCGAGTGTGAAATGTCAAGATCTTCAGAGGTCTGCGTCATCCGCTTCACTCTTCGCATCCTCGGCAGCACGATTAGGGTAAGAATTGCAACAGCAGTTGCATGTGGATCAACAGTAGCACCCCACAATTTTTGCAACCACGCTTCGCAGATGAGTGTTAAACCGAACGTACAGGAATTGAAGATGAAAGCTACGGCAGCAAGTCGTGATACTGTTGACGATGTAAACCCTGCATTACCTTAAGGACCCTCAACTATGGGAACTATGGCAAATTCCCTATAAAGGGTAATGAGGGATTTATATCATCGACCGTATTTGAACACGAATGATCCGGCGACCCATCTCAGTGCCAGGCCCCGGCGTCCTCGCGCAGCCGCTGGCTGACAAGATCACAGAGCCTGTCTCTGCAAGTGGCAACAACCCCCTAACATAGGGGCCTTAATAACTACCTACACTATTTGGGGGGTTCCTTCCCATGATTATGGTGTAATATGGACCGTAAAGAATAGGATGCTGACCACGACGACGAACCTAGTACTGGGACTACTACTGCGGCAACAGCAACTACAGCAACAACTGCTACTACGACGACCCTGTTCCCTTGGCCCGGCCCTAAACCTACCGCAGGCCCCGCTCAACTCTAATTCCTAAACCCTAAACCCAAAGCGTTACGAATCCCTCAAGCCCAAACCCTAGTACTCAACCCCTAAATCCTACAGCCTCAATTCCACAGCCTCTGCCCGCCTGGAGCCGAAGACCTCGGCACCATCCAGCGAGCTCAGAAGCTGTTCGAAAGATTCGAACCTCGGCGGGGAAGCTTCGAGTCTTTCAGGGTTGGGCTCCTTCGATTGGATTCCCCTCATGATCCTGCAACAGTGGCTGGCTTCTTCTTTCGGGGATTTGGGGGGTAGAGCTTTGGAGCGTCTGTTCCCTAAGTCTGGGGCCTATCCTTGGCCGAACCGTCGTGAAAGCCAGGACAGTTTCGAGGCGTCGGCTTGGCATCCCGCAGAGTGGACTCCTCCTGCGAAGGAGGCGTAGGAAATAGGCTTCTCAGTAAAGGAGTAACGTAGGGTTTGGGGTTTAGGGTGCTAGGGTTTAGGGGTTTGGGGTTCAGGGTTTCGTGTAAAAGGGCTCGGAATTAGAACCCCAAGCAGAATACTACTAATCTCTAATCTGCAAGTGCCCACAACTCTCCAAGCATGTGCATCCCAAAGCCCTAAACACTGAGATCATGCCTGTGAATCCTTCTGGACGTGGAAGGCGCTCTCGCTGAGCAGCACCTCAGCGAAGCATGGGAGCTCCAATCAGAAGGAGCTGTACTTGGAGGTTCCTGGGTAGTTACAAAATGGGGTTATAAGTCCCCTAATATGGATTAAAATTACAGTTACCCTATTTATAACGGGTGCCGTACTATATTGGGGATCTAAAAGGGGCCCCTAATTTAGAGAACTACACACATAATAGTATGTCATAGTCTGCTCTTTAGAATATTATAGGGCAAAAGGCTGCCCGGTTTACACGCAACCCTACGCAGAATCTAATTCGAAGCAAGGCTGAATCAGGTAGAGAACGTGCCTGGCCCCAATGAGCTGTTAAGCTGAATGCGCTAATGTAGAACCCTCAATAATTGCCAATATTATCCCAAGGGTTCCATGTTATAATTGGAGTATAATAGCCCCCACACCCTATTCTATTTATGAAGGCCCCTACTACTCTCAGGAGCACAGGGCTCAGCCAAACATCGCTTTTTGGGGTTTCGAGCTTGACATTTAGTCCTCTTAGGTGTAGGGAGGCACCGTTTCTCCCTTACCTCTCTAGCGTAGGACCGTCTTTCCATGGAGGAGCAACGAGTTACCAAACACACACGATCTCCGGGGCTCTGGCCCACTTCGCACCATGTGCCCAAGCCAAAAGAAAGCCAAATCAACGCGGCTGTTCTTTGGCCCTTCAATCCTTGACGCGAAACCCTATATCCTGTAGCCTAAGCCTCCTCAGCCCTTATATAGGGGCCTTGATAATTAGAATAGGGTTTTGGGGTATATTATACTATACTGCTGGTATGTTATACCATACTGCCAATAAGGAAAAATAGTATTAAGTAATCATGTAGGCCCCCATATATCACCCTCTGTGGAAAAGTCTTCGAACTTGGCTGGGCCTCCACGGTGCGGCGCGAAGGAAGCCTTCTCTGCACATGAATAGTTCTCTAAATATTAAGGCCCCCCGCTTTTAGGGTCCTTTTGATAAGGGCGACGTATTTTGGGGACCGATTAAAGGGAGCCTGATGTAGAGAACTACTGAAATGGGGGCGCTTTCTGTTCTTCCTTTGCAACGAGTGTTGTTGTCATCAGCATGGTTGTTCTTGTGGTTTGTACAGTCGTTGATAAAAAATGTAGTTAGTTGTAATGTTTAACATCATGCTGCGGCCGCTGCTGCTGCTGGTGTTGTTAATGTTGTTGTTGTTGTTGCTGCTGCTGCTGCTGCTCTTCTCAGTCACTAGGGTTATAAATAAGGTAACCACAGCTATAAACAGTTATAGCCCCAATTAAAGTATTTATCACCTTACTTTCTAAGTCCCTCAATCTTTAACATGTTATAGTACCCTTCTAGTACCCTTTCCCTTATAGCACCCCTGATAGTACCTGTATAACATTACTTACTAAATCCATGACCCTCCAAGTCTTTGACCTCACAGAAGCGTCCAAATGCTAAACTGCTGAGGCCCATATCCGGTGAACTTCTCAAGCCCTGAACTCTGCAAAGCACTAATACTAGTGTTTAGGGTTCACCTTAACCCCAAATAACCTACCTTTTTTGAGGTATAAAGACATCACAACAAGGAGCCTTAGAAAGGTAGGTTTTTCAGGGTCCAGGTAGGGGTTTAGGGTTTCGGACCACTATCAAAGCTCAGCTTCCTATCTCCGATGCTTGAGGTAGTCTTAACATCTTCTGTCACTTCCAAAGCCGGCTATGCCAGGACCCTTAACACTAAGCCCTAAAACCCTAAAGCCCCAAAACCTAAAGCCCTAAAGCCCCAAAATCTAAAGCCCTAAACCCTAAACCCTAGAACCCTTAAAGCCCCAAAACCCTAAAACCCTAAACCCTAAATCCCTAAACCCCTAAGGCCCCTAAAACCCTAAACCCAAAACCCCTAAAGCCCCTAAAGATCTTAGTTTCGCGTTTTTGGAAGGTGTGGGAGTAAGGCTCAAGGGGGGCTCGGGCTCGCACATCCCTGAATGTCCAAAAGGATTGAAGAACAAAAAATAGTAGACCATGGTATAACATAGTTAGTCTAATACAAATAACATAGTATATGAGATGGTATAGTATAGTTTAGCATAATGCAAAAAGTACAGCATATGATAGAATAGAAGACAATGCAATATAACGTAAGAGGGCTTCAAGATTTTGGTCAGCGGCTGTTGCACGTCCACTGTCCTCCACCAAACCTGATGCCCGAAGCCCGAATCCCTTAACCCAGCCCCAGCCGCGGCCCGACTTTTTGTAAGCGACATCAATCTCCAAAGTTGTAAACCCTCATCGTGTAGATACCTGTTAGAGTCTGTATAGAACCATTATAGACCCAGGAATCATTATAGAACTCTCTTGAACAACTCTTTGAAGCCTCTGAGCTGTGTGCCTCGACACCAGTCGAAAGTGCGCCGTGGGCTCCCCGGGCACAGCTCTTAAGATCTCCAGCTCATGGAACATGTCTTGGTAGTGCTCCTCTAGACGGGCTTCATAGGGGTCCAATGGGCTTCTACGAGGGTTTTCAAAAACAAACTGAGGGCTTTAATCCATGTGGGATTTAAACGGTCGTTATCGGGATTCTTGGGCGCTTCTGTCATGCAATCAGGGTTCGGAGGGGCAGTGCTCCTGCACACCTTCAAGCCTCTGCCATTCAGAACCTCGGTTAGCAACAGCAACAAGTGCCACCAAGAACTAATGCAAACTCAAATAACATAAAAAAAGATTGGGGCACAGAGACCCTCTGCAGACTCTTGGAACAATCCTGAATCAAACGGCTTGTTCAGAAACTACTTGGAGGTTCATGGGTAGTTATATGTGTGGTCAAAAAAGCTTGAAAAGTCCTGCAACATGTGTTTTTAATCATAGCTACCCTACTCATAACTAGACTTATAACTACCCATGAACCCCTAAATCCTAAACTCTTATAGAACCCTGCCCTTAAAGGAACCCTATAACCCTACTTATAACTAGCCATGAACCTCCAAGTAGACCCAAAACCTAAACCCGTAAAGAAGCCCTTCAAGGAACCCTTAAAGAAACCCTGAAAGAAACTCTTAAAGAAACCCTTTTAGAACCCTATATGCCTAATGAATGAAGAGAGGAGCCCTCGGTTGGAAGTCCTCGGCCCCCTAAGCCGCTTCAGAGCTTCTCTCTCCCTTTGTAGTGGTACACGGTTTAGGGTTTGGGGGTTTGGGGGTTTAGGGGTTTAGGGGTTTAGGGTTTAGGGGTTTAGGGGTTTAGGGTTTAGGGGTTTAGGGTTTAGGGTGAGTCCTTGTAGTGGTACAGGTCCTCCGCCAGTGGCCGTGGCTCCAACATGGCTTTTTCTCGGACACCAGGATCAGACACCAAGATGGAAGCAAAAGGAATAATCCCTCCCATTCCTCGCGGCTTTTGTCATTAAGGTTTAGAATGCAATATGTAAGAGAAACACTCGTCTAATTATTCAGGTCCTCATATTGGCTGATTTCGCTTGTGAGAAGCTGTGTAGACACGTGCTGGGGAAAGGCGTGTGGCACTGGCACTCCCGGCCAAAAAAAAGAGACCTGCATTGATTGAAGCATCTGGTATAAGGGCCTTAACCATTGGAATAGGGCGGTGGGGCATCGCAGAATTTATTTTCCGTGAGAGACAACAACCGACTTGCCCAGTATCATGGGGAACTAAAGGTTAACCTTTTGGAAGTATATTGGGATTCTAGTACGCAAAAAAGGTTCGGGGTTACCAAATCTACTACTAAGATAAAGTTGGTGGATTTGTTTTACAAAAGGGGCCTTAAAATTAGAATGGGGTTTTGGCATTTATGTAGGCCGTGGCCTTGATGTCCTAAGCCTACACCCTCAACCCTATCCCCACTCTAAGCAACAGCGCCTAGCTCGTCTTGTAGGGTTTAGGGCATGGGCTCTACCATAAGCGCAAAGGCCTTCGCACTTAGATGGGTGTCTTCTACCCCGGCTATGATATGCAGAGGAAACCGAAGCAACGGTTTAGGGTTTGGTTTTAGGGTTTAGGGTTTGCTTGTTTTGAAATTGTTCAGGCCCCCTCCTTTGCAGCTGTCATTGGCAGCCATGCATGCCTTGCCACGTGCGACGCGCTAAAACGTTGTAGCAACATTTTCTGCTACTTGTAATTAAGCTACTGCAGGGGCCTGGAAAATTACCAGGAATGTAGGGGCCTTAATAATAAGAATAGTGTTTTGGGGTATACTATACTCCAAAAATACTAAGGAACCCCCCAAAAAATAGCATTAGTAATTAATTCAGGCCCCCTATAGCAATATTCCGCGGAGTTCCTCATTATGGTGATACTACAATGCATCTTTTAATCCCCATTCAAATTGTTAAGGCCCCCCCTATACTGTGCAGTTGATGCTTTGGATTTGCTTCTCCAGGGGTTCATCTTCTGGGTTCTTGTTAAGGGATGTAATTTAAGTTACCATAATAAGGAAACCATATTATTTAGTATAGATCCCCATTATGGTAACTTAAATAAGCTGCCTTAACAAGAACCCAGTCTTGAAAGCCTTTGGGAGGAAGCTGGCGGCGGCCCCCTTTCTCTCTCTTTCAGTCACCGTGCATATCGTCTGATGCGCGGGCTATGCAAGACAACGAAAGATCGGGTGAAACTCTCCAGCGAAATCCTATCTCAAGCTCCCGTAGCGACGATGTGAGGAGCGAACCCTGAACCAGAAACCCTAAACCCTAAACCCCGAACCAGAATTTCTTGCCCCGAGCCCCATACAAACTCCCGTGCCTTCGAGACGGAGCCCTAAACCCTCACACGTTACCATTGTGACTGTGAATGGTCCTGGTACAGACATTTCAATCATGCTTACTCTACTTGCTATTGCTGTTCCCATCGGCGTAGACCGTGAAGCCACAACCCCGAACCCATTCGGAAGTCTAAGACACTCGAAGCCCCACAAGTGCAGTTTATGATTGGGAGTTGGGATTAGGGGGACCCTTGGGGAGAAAGGGTCCCTCTCGATAAGGTCCCCCTTTAAGAGAGCCACAAGTAGGGTTCAGAAGGTTCCCCTTTAACGGGTCTCCCTAATACTACCTAGGAATGACACATTAACCAAAGGCATGTTTCTCAGCTTGAGGACTTGCGGCTTTGAAATGGAAGGCTTTTGTTTGTCGCCTTCTTTTCCTCTCAGCTTAAAGGCTTGAATAAGCTGACAATGAACCCTCAGACCGTCGTAACAGGTGAACCGCAAAACCACATACAGGAAATCTCAAGCGTCAGCAAAAGCTAATTGATAGCGAGAACAAGTTCAATCCGACTTTCTTCTAACGCATGCGAGTCGTTTTTTACTCGTCCCTGTCGTTCCCAATTCTTATCGTTCCCATTACTGCGGTTATAACTGATACAAGTAGTGCCATTGCTGTTATTGCTGCTTCTATGTCTAGCATAACTGTGCCTCTCTGCCTCACTCACATCCAATTTTCAAGCATCTGCGATACAAGCTTAGTACTTCTCAGCATCAACAAGTACTTCAATATCGTGTCGTTGTTGCAAGGATATTCTCACCACCCCCTAACTAACAATGATCCTTACAAGCTCCGACGACCCTAAACACACCAAAGCTCCAAACCCTAGCAAAAACCTTCAAACACCCTGAGGTGCGCGCTATTTACTGGAAGGTTCATGAGTAGTTATAAGTAGAGTTATAATTCCCTTAGCCTTAATATGGGTTATAAGTATAGCTACTCTACTTATAACCCGACTTATGACTACCCATGAACCTCCAAGTAGAGCATAAATCCTAAATCCCTATAGAACCCTTTACGGAACCTTTACAGGAACCCTAACTTATAACTACCCAGGAACCTCCAAGTAGAGCCTCACTCAGCCCCTTCCGCCGAAGCGCCGGCGCCCCGAGGAGCCTTGGGGACGCGGCTCGGGAGGTAGCGGTTTTCCCTCTCTTCGACGGGTTCGAGCATACTAAGTGACGGGTTTAGGGTTTAGGACTTTGGGTTTAGGGATGCTAACTGACGGGTTTAGGGTTTAGTGTGGAAGTAAGTAAGCAAGCAAGAAAGTAGCTCTTCATCTGCAGGTTCCATATGGCTTTAGTAGAAGGGTCCACGACATGGTTTGGGTGAGGGTTTCTGGAGGGCACGGGGTTCATGATTTGTGCCTCTGTATGGTTATGATGCTGACATATTAGTTTATACTCACACGCAGCGCCACCGCCCGGTAGAGTGAGGCCAATAGCCTTTTGCCAACAGTCAGTGCTTGCTGCCAGTACCATTTGGTGTTTCTGCACGTCTTTTGTCGTGTTGTGGCGACCCTAAAACAGGCCCTACATGCTAAGCCGTAGTCTGGGATCTGCCTGAAGGGGCACTTAGACTGCTAACTGCCTAGCTTGTGCATTTCCCAGTGGCCCATCGGATCGTAGTCCACTGTGGCAGAAGCAGCCGTCGTGGGTGGCGTCTCATCCAAGTCACCTGAGCGTTCGTCTGAACGGTTTAGGGCGCACGGGGTGCATAGAGTTTAGAGTTTCGAGGGGTTATAGGGTTGAGAAAGGGGGTTGGCTACAGGGCTCGTTTGGCGTTTGGCTTGGCATTCCTGTGTACCCCGACCGGAAGGCGCACGACGGGAACGACCCACCGCCTTGAACACTAGGTGTCTGTCCGGGTTAAGTGGAAGGTACCGCTATAATCTACATCGGGGTCCAATTGTTGGCCTGTCCCTTATGGGATCCTGAAAAGAAGGCACCAGGATCGTAAGAAGGATCCTCAAAAGCGATCAGCCCAAGGGTTGTCACCACCAGCGTAAAGATATCACCAAGCATCAGGGAATGTCGCACAGTCAATCCGAAAGCATTACATAAAGTGCGGTGCAATCGCAAGTCAAAGAGCGCGGGTCATAAACTACGGTCGATCCTGGCTTGGCTGGCTTTATGCTCAAGACTATAGGGTTTAGGGTTTAGCCCGGGGAAAAAAACTAAACCACAATGTTCGAAACCGGTTGCCTATCTCCCGAGTGTGAACTTCAACACTCCAGGTCCTAATCGCAGCTTCTGGAGTACCGCAAACACGAACGCATACCCCGAACACGAACACTGAACTTCAGCCTCCTGTTGGCTCCTCCTACTGTTGTCGGGACTACACTTTTACAGCAGTATGGAATCATGGTTCGCACCCTAAACCCTAAACCCCTTTTTGGCCCAAACCTACTCGCCGGGCTGGCGGAACTCCCTTAGTGCAGCTTCAGTCTGGGGCTCCCTGCGCATACTGCCGCTGTTCGCCAAGCCCCTGCTGCGGGAGCCGGAGCCTGCTGAAATGCCAGTGTATATATATATATATGATATAATATGCATATACATGTAAAAAAGGGTCGTGTGACAACGGGCGCAACCGCGACCAGTTTTCGCCTGTACCGCCATCTTCAGCATAAAGGCACCAACTCGTTCAGACGGACATAACCATCAATCATCACAGGAGAAGTAGCATCCCAACACAGATCTTTCCATCTTAGCTTCTGCAAATCCGCCAGATCAGCCCCAGACACTGACTGATTACGCAGGAAATGCTCTCCAGTGCAAGTCGCTCCATGAAGAAGACTGCGTTCTGAGCCGCGGGCGTGGTCGAGTTCGTGCTTGCCCTGCGGTGCAAGCTACAGAAAGGGCCTCGGTCTCTAGCAAATAGTAGTCATGGAATACCTCGGGGCCTGCATCTTCGTTCCTCAATCGCTCGCGGGCTCCAGAGCTACTCAGATTCGCGGGTGTAAGGCCGAAATCGTACATAAGAAGCTCTGCATCCTGAACCTGAAACTCCAGATCCTGACCCCGGACGCACTCCAAAACCTTGAGTCGTAAGCTCTAAGCCCTAGGTAGCCCTTCAACTCAGATTCTCGGCCAGCAATGTGAACCTTGGGCTTGCCTCTTCAGGTTTAGAGTTTTAGGGTTTTGGGGTTGAGGGGGATTAAGGTTTAGGGGTCAGGGCTTCTTGTAGAGGGTTTAGACGGCTTAGGTGCTTCTTTTTTGTGAGCCTCACGGGGCTTCGGACTTCGGGAGCAATGTAATATGGATCTCGAAGATACCCTGTGATGACTCTCATGAAAAGACGAGGGAGCTACGGTTGATGATGTAATACAGTATTTTTCATTACCCATAATGAGGAATATACCATAATTCCCATAGTTTAGGGTCCTTAAGGTCATGCAGGATTTATATCTTCAACAGTAGTAACGAAGGGCCCGCATTACGCTTAGGGTGCTTGGGATTTGGGATGTTGAGGAAGCACGAGGCTGATGCAAAAGGATTTTGACCACCCTCGCCAAAGAAACAGACACCACCAAACAGGACACCCACTCGC